ATAACTAAACAGTTAAAAGTAACGAACCAAAAATCACAAAAAAGAAAAAAAAAAATCGAATCGTATGGAAATTGTACTATTTCGGCTCAATTCTCGATCCTGACTTAGTTTTGCTTGGTTTTCCTCACCCATGCCAATATGCACCACCTTTATCTTGTTTGTGTAGAAGTATTTTTCTTTATTTTGGTAGTTAGTCGTTAACTAATTTAGTAATTTTCTCTCTTTGCTTTTAATTTACTAGGTCTTGTTGGGGTGCAATGGTGAGTTAATTTTGTTGGCAATGTCTCTACGTGTTTGAGAGTCATTGGTCGTAGCTTGAGGTCGGTCTAGCTCTCGGTCCCAAAAAAGTCTCTTTGCCGAGAACAATTTATTTCAGTTTCAATTATTTACGAGTTGTGATTCCTGTGCTATGGCGGTTATGTCTAAAACTGTTATTCCTTTTTATATATATTTTATCATTTTGAAAAAAAAAAATAAAATACCGAGCTTTGATTGGCACTCAACAATCAACATAAACTACTTTACCCAAAAAAAAAAAGTCCCAAAAGGGAAAATTTCAATATTAATATTTTAATACACTTTATTGAAATTCAACAACAACAACAACATAATATTTTAGTCCCAAATAAATTGAGATAAGTTAGAGATGAAACCCAAGAGAACTAATGGTAAGAGAAACACAAAATGAGCTCAAAACAAAATGAAGAGATTTGAGCAAAAGAGAAAGGAACAAAAGTCACGGTTCTAGCACGTTGATTGCTAGCCTCCAAACGCTCATACTCACCGCTAAATCCTTGGTGATCTTTAAGGTATCTCTTAACTGACTCTTCCCAAGTGAGTTTAGACCGACCTCTACCTCTCTTTACATCATCGACCCGCTGTAAAACTCCCGTACGCACCGGTGCATCAGGAGGCCTCCGTTGGACATGTCCGAACCACCTCAGCCGATGTTGAACCAATTTCTCCTCAATTGGAGCCACCCCTACACTATCTCGAATATCCTCATTCTGGATTCTATCTTTTCTTGTGTGCCCGCAAAACCAACGCAACTTACGCATCTCTGCTACACTGAGTTATTGGACATGTTGCCTTTTTGTAAGCCAACATTCAGCATCGTATAGCATCGTCGAGCGAATCGCCGTTCTATAGAACTTACCTTTTAGCCTTTGTGGCACCATCTTTTCACAGAGAACGCCCGCAACTTGACGTCATTTCAACCAACCGGCTGCAATTCTATGCCTAACATCTTCATCAATGCCGCCATCCTTTTGTAGCATCGATCCTAAATACCGGAAAGTCTCCTTCTTGGCCACCACTTGCTCGTCAAGGCTAACATCACCATCATCATGTGTAGCCATGCTGAAAGCGCACGTCATGTACTGAATCTTCGTCCTACTAAGTCTGAAAACACACGTCATGTACTGGATCTTCGTCATACTAACGTCATGTGTAGCCACAACTCTAACTTCCTATTTACTCATGCCCTACTCTCGTCAACTAGCACCACATCATCAGCAAAGAGCACACACCAGGGATATCACCTTGTATGTCTTTTGTGGCCTCACTCATCATCAAAACAAATAAATAAGGGTTCAATGTTGACCTTGATATAGTCCTATTTTAATTGAAAAATGGTACACTTATGAAACTAGTCCTATTTTAACTTTAACCGTTCGGTTACAAATTTCCCGTTTGCTTCTTTCACAGCAGCCCCATCAATTATGGCACCTTATCTCTATAAAAACCAACTCTAATAATAATAGCTCATTCATATCACCACGCAACTACCTCGACAGCATCGCCGTCTCTCCGTGCAACACTCATGGCCTCACCGCTTAATTTCGCAGCTCGACCTCTAATCTTCGTTATAATTGCATCGATTG